CATAAGTTGGTCAGATTTTTCTATAAAGGGCCAGACAGTAAACATCTTAGGCTTGGCAGGCCAAATAGTCTCTGGTATAACATTCAACTCTGCCATCTTAGTGAAACAGCAGCCATAGACAATGTATAAATGAATGCATGTACCTGTGTCCAATAAAACCTTATCTACAAAACAAAATGGCTGGTCAAATTTGACCTGTAGACCATAGGTTGCTGAGCCCTCTCCTCGTGGCTTATCAAACACTTTTCCTAAACCTTGTAAGATAATTAATTACAGGATATTTTCCTTAGATGACCCACTAGATAGTTTGTGTCATCATTTCAGTTAAACCAAAATTAAAAGTTCCTTCAATTATTTCTTATCAAGGCAAAGAGATATAGCAGCTCCACTTGGGAGCTGCTCTTTGAGATTAGATGTGAGAAGAAAACTGTTTATGACTAAAGATTCATGCTCATTGAACCAACTGTTCCTGAACTGCCTAATACACACACACACACACACACACACACACACACACACACACACACACACACAAATAAAGATGGGGTCTCTCTCTGTCAACCAACGTGGAATGCAGTTGTGTGATCACGGCTCACTATAACCTTGAACTTTCTGGGCTCAAGGGATCCTCCAACCTCAGCCCCTTGAGTAACTAGGACTACAGGCACACATCCCCATGCCTGGGCTTTTTTTTTTTTAAGAGATGGGATCTTGCTATGTTGCCCAGGCTGGCGTCAGACTCCTGGGCTCAAGTCATTATTCCACTGGGTCTCCCAAAGTGCTAGGATTTTAGGTACAGGCCACTGTGCTTGGCTTGCCTTATATTTCTAATTAGTGCTACTGAGGTCCAAACAGCAGATGTGATTATTTGTGATGTCTGAAAAGATGATTAAATGGGATTAAACATGCAGGAAATATATTAAGGGAAATGCCCATGAGGAAAAATTGGGAGAAAGCCAGAGGAGGTTTGGAGAGCCTTCAGACTGGGATGCCGGTCTAATTGCAGGAAGGAGAGTGAAGGAAGAAAAGTTGGGTAGAAGTCTTATCCCTCAAGGCAGCTGTGCAACAGTTCTAGCAAGGCTGATGGAGAGCCCGTAGCCAAAGTCATGTGGACTCCTACAGCTTCCAGGAGTAGGTCTGCATCTCCCTGCCACAATGAGTGGAAGTAACTGCTGGAATTGTGGTCTCTGAACCAACACAGCAATGGATTTCAGAGCACAGCAGTTGTTGAGCACTGGTCAATTATACTTTCCACTGTAGGGGATTGGAAAGGTGCTTCTTTAAAGCTATGAGGAAGGGCTCCACAGATAATTAATTTGATAGAAATTTAAGAAAGAAATGACTTAGAAGTATTTTGCCACATAAACTCATGAAGGTAAAGATCACTTTATTTGTTATATTCTAATGGGACCTATTAAATCATCTTACATTAAGGAAGCACCCAAAGGCAGGAGTGGTTGCTCTTGCCTGTAACGCCGGCACTTTGGGAGGCCAAGGCATGTGAATTGCTTGAACCTAGGAGGTTGAGATCAGCCTGGGCAACATAGCAAGACCTGGCCTCTACAAAAATAAAGAAGTTAGCCGAGCATTGTGGCACACACCCATAGTCCCAGCTACTCGTGAGGCTTGGGTGGAAGGATCACCTGAAACCAGGAGGTTAAGGCTGTAGTGAGCCCTGATCAGCCACTGCACTCCAGCCTGGGTGACAGAGTAAGACCCTATCTCAAAAAATAATAATAAAGAATAATGAAGAAATAAATATAGGATGGTATATCATCTACCTTATAGCACTCATTATTGTTATTAAATAGCTAATATATGTAAAATTACTTAGAACTCAGCCAAGCACAGATTATTAGAGGTAAATTTTAACGCAATTTTTTTGTTAGTTTCCCACAAAACCAAATTTGCCTGAAAAAGAAGTGAGAAATAGAATCACACTACAGGAAGTGACATGAATATTTCCTCAGACAAACCCCTTCATATTGTACTCTTGGAAAGAGGAACTTGAAGGCAAAGAGATATTGGTACAAACTGATAACAGAGTAAGAGAAACACTGCAAGCCAGACTAAGGGGGAAGGAAAAGGCATGGTGGTAGTTTCTGATTCTTGCCACCATGGCCAGCAGGGTTATTCAGGTGTGGTCATTATTGCCATCTTTCCTGATCATGATACTTTTTCAAGTGCAAGAGGATCTTAAAATGCCATTGCAGTGAACCTTTGGCTTTCCACATTTCGTTAAATTGCAAATCTAGAATGTCAGTAGAGGACTAGAAAGCAGTAAGTTAACTTATTCTATAACACCATCATGTGAAATCTAGGGCACTAAAATGTATTGGAAAGACATTGTCATGAGTTCTTGAAATAACTGGGGACCTGAAGTCAGGTTTAGAAAAAGCAACACTTACCAAAGTGAAACTAACTTAGATGAATACAAGAGGAAAACCATGAAGGCATGTCTGGATAGCACAGAAGGATCTATTGGTTTATAAATGCTTATTATACATGAATACAGTATATGGAGGTTAAGGAATAATTCAGGATTACTTTTGTAAACTTGGCTTTGAATCAGGATTTGAGTTCACTTGAGTGGTTGTGTCTAAGCAGAACATGTTCTGCTGCAATAGTTCAAATAAGTAGCACAAAGGGTATACATTTACATATAACAGGTTTGAAGCATCACAGCCACAAATAGCATAGGCAATTGGAAGACATTAAAATGAAAGTGAAAAAAACACACAGGCTTCACTTCTTAAGGAAGGGCGTAATTTGAGCCACTGTCTTCTTTTTCTACTTCCATCTCATTGCTAGTTGTGATGGATTTGCGATTTTGGAAATGTTTTCTGGGTTTTAGCTATCTTAAAATTGTTCTCACTGTATCTAATAAACTTTCATTGGTCTTTATAATAAGTTTTAGCTGCTTCATATAGGGAGTAGTTATTCCTTTTCTTTGAATTTTCTGTACTTTTTCCGATAAAGTACACATCTTCTGGCCTTAACGATAAAGAATAATTTATCTCTTAAAATCTTACGTAGCATGTAACTTAACAGTTTGGAGATTAACATGCTAACAATGGAACATCTTTTCCCCACAACTTAAATTCCTAGGTAGAAAGAGATAAAAAACAACCTAAGATACAGTGTTTTAGGGGATAGAAAAATTAAACAAGACCCTACCATGTGTTTGATAAAAGTTACTGTAATAGAAATATATACAAATTTCAAATATGCAATTAAGTAGGATATATTGTGTATTTGTTTTTGAACATACAAGTATATTTTGTAGGAGAGGTTGACCATTCTCTTCTAATAATAAAAATAATAAACAATATAGTCACAAGAAACCAATATGCATATATTATCAAACTTACTGTTGAGGAAGAAGACCTTAATCACCTCTGGCCTTCTACATTGCATCTCAAAAGGAGAAGGTAGAAGTTAGCCACAGGAGGGACTGGTTGGCTCTGCCAGCCCGGTTAAGGATAAGACCCCTACTGCTAACCACAATCCCATCTATAGATCACAGATATGGTATGGAGGAATCTTTCTGAAGGCATTATTTTTACATAAACAGGATCAAACCCCCACCTGAGTCACATATCCCACACCTACTTCATGGATCAAGACCCTTTCACGTGTAATTTCTAGAGTTGTAAACCTTCAAAAAGGCAGGGACTTTGTTTGTTAAGGTGAGCTCGGCTGTTAGGCGAGTATGCCTCTGCTGCTCCCAGTCAAATAAATCCTCCCATCCTTCCCAGTTCGTGTTCGAGAGGTTTGTTGTGCGGCTTTTCCTGCTTTACTGTGCCAATGAATGATGAAAGTTTTGTAATTTTCAGAGACAGTATGTAGTTCCGCCCATCCCCCATGTTTATCTGATGCTGATATGCACCAAAAAGTATTTCCCAAAGCTCATGTGAATCATTGCTTCAATGTAGTTAACACTTAAGTTCTTATTCAATTAGTCAATTATTAGTACTACTAATCAAGGGGGATAGAAAAGAAAATAAATGAGTACCCTGGAGTTTGATTCTCAGATTTTATACACTAGCTGTATGAATGTGACAAGTCACTCAAACTAGTGATTTCTAGTTAAAACATCTATCTGCTCTAAGTGATTTACATGAAAATCCTTTGTGCAGGGGAAGTTGCATTATATAAAAGGCTTTATCTGTATCAATTATCATTGCTATTTTTCTTAAAATGCCAACTTATTTGTGATGCCAATAACACAAATGAAATAAAATAGAAATAAGGTTGCACCTTATTTTTGAATGTATATATTTCAGCTTTCATGCCAGAAATCAACTACGTTGGGATAGAATCATCCCTTGGGTTTTGGAATGGTAACTGGAATAATGATTTTTGTAGCTAAAAGGGGACTAAGAAGACAATAAAAAATGATAGTTATCAAAAATGATATTTGCTATTTAGCAATAAACTGTGATGGTGTGTTTGTGACACTGGTGATTGAAGGGCATCCCTGGTTTTTACTGATTGTACTCAAATAAGTACATCATGGTCCCTAACAGAGAGACATCTGTAAATACACAGATATTCTTGATACATTCACTTGGCGTTTTCCTTTCTATCTGCTGAATGCACAAACCAACTTCAGGTGCCCCTATGGCTACAGCATTACCAAAGACAAAGCAAAATTGGTCAAAAATGCACAACAAAGACAACAATCTGCCCCAAATGGTTATTTTGTTTGACACATATCATATCACAGTTGGTAGCTGCAGTGCTTATTTGAATTTAAACATTGATGAGGTCCTTTCCTGGCCCTGTTTTTGCAAACACATACAAAGCTAAATATACCAACTCTCATTAGATCAAAAGAAACACGCACAGTATGTCAGGCAGTCATTGTTGTTATTACCAACAAACAAAAATGTGTATTTCCCTCATCACAGTGCTGAAATGTGCTCTGTGTTTATGAAGCAAGCTAAAAAAAAAAAGCCTCCTGGTTGAATCTGTGGACTCTGGCCTTGGGGGTGTACCTGGGTCTCAACATCTGTCAGCTTTCTGGTCTGCTCTGCAGTCTGAGACAGGAGGCTGGTTCCTATCTCCAGCATGGTAGCCGTGTGGTTCTGAACTGCGTTCTGCTGTATCTGGGCCATCTCCGATCTCATATTTTCCACAATATAATTCTCAAGCTGTAAGAGATAAAGGACAAAACATATTACATTATAATCAAAGCCTCCCAGTTGGAGCATGTAACATTTACAATGACAAAACAAGACACAGCTGGCGAATCAGCCAGCTGGCAGGGATCCTCTGCATATCTGGGAGTTGAAGAAATGGGAGCAGAGCACACAGGAATCTAGTTGTCAACAAATTCCTAATATACTGATACATATATTTATAATAATCATAATCATAATGATAATTTGCACTTGGATCACGCTTTCCCAAGGTTGACATTATCCATTTAGTCTTCATAGCAAAGATATATCACAGTCAGCTTTCTTGTTATGTTTATTTTATAGATGAAGAAATAGAATCGGAGAGGGCCAGTGACAAACTCAAGTTGCCCAGCAAGAATGCAGCAAAATTCGCATAATAATTTAAATCTAATTTTTGGTGCTCTGGCTTTTCCGTTACACCATACTGACCACTTATCTCAGAAAACTTCAGCCTCCTGCTTCCATTTTTGTAATGATAAATAAAAGACTACGCTTGCTTTGGGGGAATGGGATGAAGAGTGGGAGAAAGGATGATGCCCAAAACAAAAACCTTTAAAGGAATATTAAAATATAGGCAATGATGTATGAAATGAGCTGCAAAGCCTGAGAGCTAGCTATAATCATTCTATCATTCTCCATGCTCCTTTGCAAGCTCAAAAGTAGGTACTGAAAGTACAGCTCATAAAGCAGTATTTGCCCTTATTGCTTTTGGTAATATTTAGTCCTTTACAGTGCCCTCTTAGGGAACACTATAGTGCTAAAATAAATGGTGCCATAGGGACTATGGAGAATTGTTAAGCAACTTATTGCAAGGGAGCCTGTTAGGAACTTGGGAGAATAAAGCTGAACATACGCGTTGCTTGAAAAAGTACAAAAGAAACCTGCATCTCCCTGTCAGCGCACTTATCCCTCCACCACTGTGCGATGACTACATTACTCAATTACACATATAGGGAAATTGCATCCCAGAGAAGTCAGGTCCAAGGCCACACACCACAAAAACAGCCAGACTTGGACATGAGCACTGAAAGCCTCAACTCTCATGCTAGCACTTTCAACCACTTGATAGCCCTGCCAAGTCGTGCTTCATAAGCCAGGTTCCAAATCATTAACAGCTACGTGATTTTTTTACTGATTTAGTGAACCATAATACATCCACTATTTTATAATCCATCGTAACATTATTATCGTGTAAGGAATATAGTCTAAATGTAAATTCTCCTTTGTAAAGCTTTGGCAGTTCACTTGCTAACATCATCCCTTGCTCATTTCTATTTATCAAACACAAATCTGTCCCAAGCTAACAAAAATGAGTTTTCAATCAAACTCATATTATTATTAATAAATTTCAAATTTGTTCTTGGTCAATATAAGAATTATCCTTCATTCTTTTTTCCCCCAAATTAGACATAGGAGGGGGAAAAAGTGCAATCTACAGAAGTTTATTATAAAACAAATACAAAATAGGTTAAAATAAATCTCTGAAAATTATCAAAATGTAAGTTTTGTAGGCCAAATCTTGGCTTTATTTCAATTGAACTAACATATTTAAACAACAAAGGATGGGTAGAGAAAAAGACGTAGCACAGAGTAACAAACATCTGTCATTTTGGATTCCACATCCTATGTTCCGTTTTTCCTAATGTCATTCCTTAACTTTCTTTTGAGAAATTATCTTTTCGCCCTTCAGAACAAATGTTTCAGGTGGAGTTGTCCCATCCTGGCATCAGGAATGAGTACAGGTTCAAACCTGGCAAGCCAGAATGTTCTGTTCTTACTATGTAGGTGTGAATTGTTCAAGAATGGAAAGGCATCACAAGCAAGGCCATTAAGTCTCAGTTCTGGAATTTCATCAAACTAGTTTACAAAAGAACTTTCTTTTCCTCTGTAGTTAATAAGCTGGTGACACATGCCCTATTCAGTTGATGCCCCATTTTGCCACCACAAAACCAGAGTCAGCCCAAGAATGAACCTGACCCAGAAAGATAGATGATAGATAGGGAGATAAATAGACAGACAGATAGATAGGCAGACAGACAGACAGACAGGTAGGTAGGTAGATAGATGATAGATAGATAGATAGATAGACAGACAGATAGATCTTTGCATGTACATACATACGTGGATGCATAGACAGATAGACATGGATTCATGTGATACATTTTGAGCACCTAGACCCAGCTGTATTTTTAGCTAGTTTCATCCTTGGACATTCAGTTGTAAGTTGCATGATCTAGCAATCTCCCACTGAGCAGCCAACTTTTTTTTCCCTTCAATCACATTGATTTAGGTTTTTAATACTTACAACCAAGGTTTTTGATTATTACATTTGATCAGTGTTTAGCAGAAGAAGCTTCAGGTAGGGAAATAGTAACAATATGGTCCTCACTTTTCCAGGGAATTGAGGATTATAGATGAATGTATGCATCTTCAGAAATGGCAGATAAGTGTCCATTATGAAGATAATAGCTGTCATTTATAGCTGACAGTTATCAATTGCCTATTATGCAACAGGTACTGAGCTACATGTTTTTCTTTTATAATCACACTTGAACATCATAATAATTTTATGTTTTATAGCTGCTTTATAGATGAAACTATTGAGACTCAGAACCCCCAAACAACTTGCTCAAGAACAAGCAAGAACCAAGAACTCAACTCGCAACTCCAAAAGCCATGTTGTTAACTTCTAATCTATTTAGCCTAGCACTGCTTCATTACACTATGCATTTTACTATATGCTCTTAAAGTTTGAGTGTTCATCAAAACTACATGGGGAGAATTTTAAAATGCAGATGGAAGCACAACATGCCAGAAACCTTTAAGGGCATATACTGGGAAACTGTTTATTTTATAAAGCTTCCCAATGTAATTATTATTCAGGTAAAGAATGAGTGCATCTCAAAGTGCGGTCTATAGAACAACTGCCAGGATAAGACCTGGCTGTGAACAGTCAGCCATGAAATTAGGAGTTTTCACTAGGATGTAAATTACCTATGTCACTGAACACACTGTTTAGTTCACCTGATGCATACACACACACACACACACACACACACACACACACACACACACACACACACAGAGGCAAGACTTTCTCAATGAAGAAAGTGATGCTCTAGTTTACATTCTCGTGCAAACTTCTTACCATGTTTCCAAAATGACAATGTCCTTGAGTAACACTGATGTAAACCATCAAATTTACTTTGAAATATCAGATTCCCTGATTACCAAGAAATCTGGGTTTCTACGCAAATTTTCCTCCTGAGAGAGTTCACTAATCAGTGAACTCCAATACAAGACCTACTTGATAATTATGCATCAATGTCTTACGCAGTTGGTTAGCAGGAGTCTGTTCCCAGAGTTTGACTTGCTCCAGGTGTAACAACAATCATGTACCCTCGTCTTCACAGGGGAGGACACCCTCTACATAGGTAGCAGAGGTGGCTACATCAAGGTTCAGCCTTTGTATCAACTGGTGACCATTCTGTATTTTTGTGCTTTTTTTAAGCTATAAAAGTTGACACCAGCAAAGCAAAATAACAATTTTATACTAGCATTCATCACAACCATAAAGCACATCTCAGTTCTGCTGACCATGTTGTAGAAATAAAGTAAGTCTCCAACCTATACTAAAATTCTCATTTAGGCAGCCATGATGAGTAGCATGACTATAGCTCTAGTTAATTATTATTTAATGAAATGAGGCTGCTTTCTCCAAGAGTAACTGCCTTTTAATGAAAAATCTAATGGCACACTTAAGTAGCAAGAACCATATGTAGTTGATTTAAAGGCTGAGACAGGAGGCAGAAGTCAAATATACAATGTGTGATTAATAAGGAGGACTGCTTTCATCTTATCTCTAAGCATTCCTCTGTAGATGTATAACTGTGAAATCCATCTTGATGTGACATAGTAGCCAGGTTCAGAAAAGATTTGTAACAAATTTGATTGTCTTCAAATATTCCCTACTGGTCTTAAAATACACTTACAGTAAATAACAGTCACCTCAAGGTTCAATATTTTATAAACATCTAAGATGTGGATTTTAAGCTTAGAAGTTGCTGAACATAGAGCTAATGAGTTATAATGTAGGAGTCTCTCAACCTGAATCATAAATTATTTGATTATATTTCCATGCCAGAGTTTTGTAAATTATCGGCCAAAATACTAGGAAGAGGATAGTAGAATGTGATTAGAAATGAAATGACAAACAGTAAGTGATGAGCTTCAAGCAAAAAAAAAAAATGTTGCCTTTGTAAAGTGATTTAATATTTGCAGTGTTTTGTACACATTGTCTGATTTGATCCTTATACCAAACTTACAAGGAGAGAATTGATTCCATTTTACAGTTTAAAAAAACAGAGGTCTTCAATGACTTCATAGAAATCAAAGAAAAGACAGACATCAAAGGAAAATCTCAACTCTATCTTCTGATGTTCTACTAGCCTCAGAGTTGTGGGAAGCATTCTGTTATTGGACTGGTTGCCTGGATGGTTGACTGATGAAATGACTGATAATTTTAATTTTAGTCAGTTATTGCATATTCATTATTATAACATATACAATATTGCATTATAATACTTATTCCTTTGAGAAAAACATGCATCATTAGAGGGTGATTACTTTCACTTGGCTTCACTGTAGTGGAGACCAATATAATTTGAGGTGAGATGAGAAGCCCTAGGGCCAGGTATGTGGAAAGTTTACTTTGCCAGTACTTTTAAGAGAAGAGAATCATTAAAAGTCCTTTCATTAGTTCTTACCTTTTTTTCTTAGCAACATAAGTTTATTTTGTTCTGCTCATTCTATTTCTTGCCAACCATTATAAAATACAACAAAGGGAATAAGGATAATACACAAAGCCTCTACAAAGGCTAGATATGTATCAGCTTTTACAAATATGCAGTTCATTGAATCTTTAGAACAATTCAGGTATTGTAAGCAGCATTTTCCTCATTTCACTGATG